CTGCTGGTTGGGCACTTTCTGCACTGAAAACAGGCCCTTTCTTAATTAGCATTGAGATTTGCCCTTCAGCAACATTGAAACAGGCATCAGGGGAAAAGCCAAGAAATTCAGAAAAAAAATGTAAATTAAGCATCCAAACAACAGCTGGGCCCTGCTTGAATTTAATCATATGCAGGCAAAACACTTTGGGGTTAATCAAATGAAATAAACTGCTAAAGTCAAGCATAGTACTTGAGGCCAGCCAACAAAACCTGAATAATAAATGACACCAAATAAGAAAAGTCTTAGCAGAGGTTTCCAAAATTCCTGAGAAATGTTATAACTTCCAAATGGCAGGTTTTGATGTAAAATAACGTATTAAGCAAGGACTTGAGGAAATATGTCAAATTTCAGCCTGACAGTCTTTTAATGACAAATGTGTTACTGTCACCAACAATCTTTTGTGCTGAAGTAAAGAAAGACACAAACTGTGTTGAAATGAGATTAAGAAGATGTGTGGGGTTTTTTTTGTTTGTTTGTTTTCACTTGCATGCAATACTTTTGTTCAGCTCTACAAAGGGAAATGGCAACAACAAATCTGAGCTGGAGATGAACTGTGAGGGAGCAAGATTTCTGACTATGAACAGTTTCCTTCTCCAGACCACAGAAAGAAGAAATTGCTACCTATTTTCAGACACTGAAAGTATGGAAATTGCAGAAGCTTAGGACTTAAAGCTAAGATGGCTTCTTTTATAGCACAGGCATCAGAAAGGATGGAGTAATTTTTAGGTCAGCAAAGGCACTTGAGAATGTAGTCTGTTCATACACTTCTCTGCCTGCCAGAGGCAGATGTATCTACAGAAAAGATACACAGTGAACAAACTTTTTTTCTGCAGTAGACTTACTATTCATTCAGCTTTTAGCCTGCTGGCATGCAAATGTGACTCAAAATGAGGGTCACAGTCTTATTACCTATGTAGAGACTAAAATACAGTTTTGAATTGTTCTCTCAGGGTACGTTACAACTCTTGTGATCAGGTTTATTTGTCCTTTAAATGCCAGGGGCTGGTGAACTGTCTCTTAGATTAGAACATAAATTATACAGGAACACATGAAAGTAAAGTATTGGTAAGACAGTACATGCTCATGAAAATTAGAAGCTGATCTGGGGTTTTTGTAAGTTTGTCAAATTAAATCAAGTCTTTGTTAGTTACCCTCCTAATTTTTATGGAAAATATATAATCACTGGTATGAGTTCTGTAATCAGGATAAATTTCAGAGGCCATATCAGAATTTTGTGGAAGTTTGGGTTTTTTTAATACTTTACATCTTCTGTACCTGAAACAGCAGAGAATTAACTCACTATCAGGATTATTGTGAAACACTTCTCAATTTATTTTTTTTTTACAAAATATATAGATCATTACAGGATACCCAAATAATATGTACTTATAATATCTAGTAATATCAGCTTTTCTTTTATTATTCATCATGAAGTTATGTAAATCCCTTATTCACGCCTAGAGAATTTGAAGCCTCTGAATTTCATGCTCCTGACAAGTTTAATTTTGAGGGAATTTCCACATGTTGGGGATTTGGAAAAAATAAAAAGATTTCTCTGGTACCATTTACAAACCCCACGTGCTAAAAGGATCACCTTTAGGGTTGCTTATAGGTTTAGAGTTTAAAGACTGTCTCCTTGGAGATGGATTAGAAGGTGAGTGAACAGTCAAAAGGATGTGATTAAATTAACTTTTGTACAATATACCGTGTGTGCACACATACATATGCATACAAGTACATACAGGTTTAAAAATGTGGTAGTTATGGATATGCAAAACCAGATAAAGATGTATATATATTTCTTCCAGTCTTGTAGAAAATGTTATGCCTCCATTTAGATCAGTAGAAAAGCTATGGGCATTCTTACTAGGTGTTCATAAGTCCAGAAGCAGTACATGGGACCAAACCCCCAACCAATACAATCTGAATTAAACAGATCAAACCCAATTTATTTCTCACCCATGCAGCAGAATTAGTGTGAGTGAAACCCGAGCCAAAATGTAAATATCCATTTTTAGCTTGACTAAATTACTTTGAAATATGGACCATATCTAATTGTAACTTGGAGCTGACTTAAAAAATTTCCCTGAAACAGACAGTTTCATTAGAAACTGTGTTTACTCCACACAAAGGGATACTGGTAGATAAATGGTATATGACTTTTAAATAATACTGGGGAGAAATTTGCACCAAATGAACCCACAGTGGCCTCATTGCCTCACCTACAGGGGCAAGGCCCTGCCATCCACATCCCATTGCACTTGATACTCATGATCTGCTACAGAATTGCTGGGGGAACTGGAAAAAGATGGGGACTACACAGAGTAATCTTTCAACTCTCAGCATATCAGCAAGAAGGACTATGCTTGTGCTTTCTGTTCAGATCTAGAAGAAGGAGAGAAGGGCAAACTGCTTTTCTGTCCACAGACAAAAGGAATGGACAAAAGGAGCTTGAGTTATCCCCATCAGAGGGGGATAGTACTGGTACCTGAGCACAAGCCCACCACAGGCAAAATTGAGGTGACCTGTAAAGATCATCTACTCCAACACCTTGGCTGTGGCCAGGAACATTCCTCACTAGATCAGGAATAAAGCTAATGCCTCTGGGTAACACCACCTCCTGTTGCATTGGCATTAACAGTGCACTCAGAGTGGATGTGGGGACATCTGGAATTGTGCTGTGTCACAAGCCCAGCCCCAGCCTGCCTCCCTGTGCTCCCCAGCACAAGACAGAGCTGCTGCAGCCTTGCCCTCTTGCTGGAAGAGAGCTGTGGAGACCAATGGACTTTTTACCAAACATGGCTACCCAAGGCGTCCAGGCTTAGCTCTCCTAACTTCTTGGTATTGGTTTTATTTTGTTTCTCTCAGGACGAGTGAGTGAAGAATTGTCCAATCTGGCAAAGATGAACATCAGTGTCTAAACATATACGAGAGATTAAACCCTATACTGAAGACAGGCATCATGGCTATAAATCCCCAAAGGAATGACCCACATCAGAATCTAGCTTTTGGATTTACAAAGATTGCAGGGCTCCAATATGGTCTGCTTGCCTAGTTCATTCTCAGAACACAGAATAGATTGGCAACCAATACTGCTACAGGGATACAAATACCCAGAGGTATTCTGCTGCCACCTGAACAGAGCAGAAAGTGCTAAGTGTAACTCTTTTACATTTTCACGTGTGGCAGTCCTAAGAAATCAAGTAGCTTTCACAATGCTAGAGATTATTTTCTCACAACATGAGCACAGTGCTACTTCACTTACTGAAATAATTTCTTGAAAGTAATGGCAGTAATTACAGATTTAAATACTCAGTATACCTACATTTTTAAGAAAGGCACTCTATAGATTGCTTGAAAATGCTTTTTTTGAAAAGTAAAATTATACTCTCTTGCAACTGCATCTCAGCTTTCCTTGGGAATGCTAACTATAGTTATATCCTGAATTCCATTTAAAAATCACTATAAAAAAAGACTGTTCAGTAACTATCCTGTAACTTATTCTGAAACCATAGTAACCAGACAGGATTGTAGCCCACATTCCCTATCTGACATTATTTTCTGATAACATGTTCAATAACTCCTATTACCAGTGTATGACAATTGGAAGGAACAGCAGGGAGCAATCTGTGAAATAGCCCAGTTTCCATTAGTTATATATCAAAACAGTTACTGTAGCAGATGAATTCCATATACAATTGCATATTGTTCTTCCCTCCACATCTTTCTGTATTTTGCAGGGCTTATCTTTGTGAAATTAAACTATGATGAATTCTATCAGAATCTGTAGTTTATGCCCTTTCTTAGCTTGTGTCTCCTTATTTTCAGGGATTTTTGGTTTCTTCTGAGGAAAGAG